TCAGAGCGCACTGAAGTCGTCGAGGAAGGCAAGAAGGGCTTGGATCCCTGGACGTACAGAGATGCCGAGGCGCACAAGATGCCAGACTGGATCCAACTCATGACGTACTTCTTCTGCGACAAGATTTCAGACGAGATCTCCAGTGACGAGTGGAGCAGCTCAGCGCCGCCCAAGCTCGATTTTGACGACGATCGCACGATGCAGAACTTCCAGGGCGAGAAGATGATGGCTTACTCTGTTGCCGTCGAGTACGTCAAGAGGGCTCTGTTCGTCGCCGCGCTTCCCGACTTTCCTCTGGTCCCTGATTGGAGTTCCCAGCTCGATACTCTGGTTCGGAACGACGTCAAGACAAGGGAGACCATTCGAGCCTACTTCCGTTCGGTTGAGCCTGAGTACATTGGTCTCTTCATCAAGATCTGCTTCGACGGTGTTCGCCACCTGAAGAACCTGGACGGAACCGATCGTGTCGTTGAGAGCTGCCTGAAGTCCATGGTTGATGTCGCGTCACTCGCCCCCGCTGGAACGATCAGCTACATCGCCCCCTCGGCATATGTCCTGCAGAAGTGCATCGCATCCAACAACCGGCACGCCCGTGCTGCCGCCGCGCAAGCTGTCGGAATTCTCCTTCCTCACCCTCTTAACAAGGTGGACTTGGCGATTCCCGAGGCAGTCACTCATCAGACGAGAAACGAGAACATCCAAAAGTTCCTGAGAGATCTCAAGGCGATGATCTGGGGATGGGACAAGCACGTGGGAGCGGTCGCCAACGGTGTCGAAGGCGCCCTGCAGGCATTCGGCCACATCTTTTCGAGAGCCGTGTACTACGGTCTTCCGATCCCGATCGATGTTCATCTGCCAGCAAAAATGCTCATGGAAGAATCGCGCCACGGTCCGACGTTGGAGAATGCTATTCTCGAATGCTACGGAGAGCTCTGGACCGCGGGACTCTCTCAGTACATTCCGGACAACGTTAACAACCTTACGGCGGACTATGTGGTCGAGAGACTCACGGAGAATGCGAATGCTGGAAGCGACAAGTCCATCTTTGCACTCGGCCGCCTTGCTTTGGCATTCAACGAGCCCAACGAAGAGGCCACCCCTGATGACGGCCTGTTGTACCCGTCTAGCAAGACATCGGGCATCGACAGCGTGCTCAAGAGCCTTTTCGGACTTCATTCCAGAAAGGAGACGGAGATTCAGTTCACCGTCGGCGAGGCCATCACTGCCGCCATTGCCTGCTGGGAATCAGACTTTGTCAAGCTGTCCATGAATGTCGACTGCGCCGATGGTCCCTGGAGAAAGGGCAAGCGAAGTCAGAGAATTACTGCCGTGCTCGACAAGCTCTTCCGCGACTGCAAGACGACTAAGCCTAGCTTGCTCAAGGCCTCTGGAATCTGGCTCTTCTGCGTCGTCCAGTACTGCGGTCATCTCGCTGAAGTCCAATCGCGTCTCCGAGAGGCCCAGGCCGCCTTCATGAGACTGCTGAGCGCGCGCGACGAGTTGGTGCAGGAGACGGCCTCTCGTGGCCTGTCCCTGGTGTACGAGAAGGGAGACGAGGGATTGAAGCAGGATCTTGTCAAGGACTTGGTGTCGGCATTTACCGGCAACACGACGCAGATCAAGGTCGAGGATGAGACGGAGCTTTTCGAACCCGGCGCATTGCCCACTGGCGAAGGCAAGTCGGTCACGTCGTACAAGGATATCGTCAGCCTGGCGAACGAAGTCGGTGATCAGAGCCTCGTCTACAAGTTCATGTCGCTCGCAACCAACGCCGCGACCTGGTCCACGCGATCTGCTTTTGGCCGCTTCGGTCTCAGCAACATCCTCTCCGAATCAGAAGTCGACCCTAAGCTTTACCCCAAGCTATTCCGATACCGCTTCGACCCGAACTCCAACGTTCAGCGATCCATGGATGATATCTGGAAGGCGTTGGTCAAGAATCCGAACGAGACGATTGGCGAGCACTTTGATGCCATAATGCAGGACCTGCTGAAGAACGTCCTCGGTAAAGAGTGGCGTGTTCGACAGGCTAGCTGTGGTGCCATCTCCGACCTGATTTCCGGACAACCCTTCCACAAGTATGAGAATTACTATGCTGAGATCTGGACTGCGGCACTGAAGGTTCTCGACGATGTCAAGGGATCCGTCAGAGAATCGGCCCTGAAGCTGTGCATGGGTCTGACCAACACCATTGTCCGCCAGCTCGAAGAGGGCGGATCCTCGTCATCAGCACAGGCTATGCTCAAGCAAGCACTTCGTTTCCTTCTCTCCCCCAGCGGTCTCGAGAGTGGTGTCGAGGATGTTAAGATGTTCTCGCTCAAGACGATCATCGACATCACCAAGAAGGGTGGTCCCAACCTGAAGCCCTTCATCGTCGACTTTATCCCTCCACTCCTGGGTCTTCACAGCACAATCGAGCCGGAGCAGATCAACTATGCCTACCAGAAGGTCAGCGAGGACTCCCGCGACCAGCTTGACAAGCTCAGAGCTCGATGGGTCAACCAATCACCGATCTCCGAGGCCATCGACAATTGTCTTCGTCAGCTGGACGCCGATGGGATGAAGCAGCTTGCGCCCAAGCTCGAGGAGATCATCAAGACCGCCATTGGCATGCCGACCAAGATTGCGTGTGCTAGACTGATTGGCGATCTAGTTATGCGCCACGCCGTGGACTTCAAGTCGGTCTCGCCCAAGTTTATGCAGATCATGGAGAAGCAGGCTCTCGACCGCAATGACGAAGTCAGTAAGGGCTACGCCAGAGCGGCGGGGTACCTTATGCGGATCGTCCCCGATGCATCCAAGGAGCGTCTCGTCGATAAGTTTACCGAGTTCTACTTCGCTAGCGAAGACGAGGCTCGTCGTGCCAAGGTGTCCGACGTCGTTCTGGGTGTCTCCAAGCTTGCCCCAGACCACTTCAACGCCTTGGCTGCCAAGTTCATCCCGTTCACCTACATGGGTATGCATGATACCGACGAGTACACCCGAAAGTGCTTCGACGAAGTCTGGAACCAGCACGGCGGCAGCTCCCGCACCGTTGCGCGCTACGTCCCCGAGATTGTGGGCTTCATCAAGAGAGGTCTCCAAGCGCCGCGATGGAACCTCCAGCATACGGCTGCCTTCAGCATTGCGAGCATGATCAAGGCCGTCGTCGCCTCCAGTGATGCTACCGGCGGACAAATGTCCGAGGCCAATCTTAAGCTCATCTGGCCCGTCCTTGATAAGGCACTTGCGCTCAAGACCTTCCCCGGAAAGGAAAAGGTCCTCGAGTCCTTCCCTCAATTCGTCGGCAAGGGTAAGGCTTTCTGGCAGCATGATTCGACCGTTGCCGCACAGCAGCAGAAGATTGCGATCCGTGAGGCCAAAAGAAACAACGAGGATTATCGCCCGCACGCCTTCAAGGCCCTCTGGCAGTTCGCAGAGCAGCGCGACGACCTGGATATTCTTGAGACAATCTCCACCATAGTCAGCGGACCTCTGGACGACTTTATCGACGAGGACCGGATGGATGTTGACAGCTCCGGCGACGCAACGCGTAAGGCGACCGTTAATGGCATCGAGACCGTCGCGCGCGGCTACAACCGCAAGCAGATCAAGGAGAACCCTAGCGCCGTGCTCAAGAAGGTCTTTGAGCTGCTCAAGACGTACCTGGATAACGCCAAGTTCGAGGGTATCAAGCGGGAGGTGTGGTACGACTGTGTCAAGGACCTGATGGAAGCTGCGCCCGCCCCGAGCGCCCCTGCTGGCAACGAGAAGGGAGTCGCTCTTGCGTACCTCCGCAGCCTGGACCCCGAGTCCGTTGACAACGGCACCGAGGCCCAGCGTACGATGCGGGTCCTCGCCATTGGCGGGGTATTCAAGGCCATCCAGCGCGGGGTGTTTGGGGAGGGAGCGGCGGCATCGGAGGAGAGAAGGGGGTTTGTGGAGATGGTGAAGAAGGCTTTGGCCGCGGAGAGGTCCCTTGAGGTGCAGAAACACCTCAAGGAGATCCTCGCAGAGTTGGAGAAGTAGGAGCCCTTCCCCTACGTCTCCAGGGGGAGATGGATGTTTTTGGCCGCGTTGCGGCAGGATATGGCTCGCGGGGTGTTGATACCCCTATATTAGAACTTGCGCTTTACTTGAACTACTGTTTCAATGACCGTGGCCTCCCTCCTGAAGTGCCATTGATCTCGCTGGAAGTTTTCCTAGCTGTACACACAGGAGATACTGGGAAGAGGTGAGACCTAGAGAGGTGCTTCGGGCTGTATAATGTACCTAGGCACTAGGACACCCAAATAGATGACCGAAACCAGCCCAGAGTACCACCCCGAGAAAAGATCTATCGACTTCCGTTCTTGTCTCGAAGCCTCGAGGACCATCACTCGAATCGTGTGTTGGCATCACAGCCTTTGCCAGCCAGGAACATTGGAATAGTTTGACGAACTCCGGTCACTCCAGAGTATGAGCCTTTCAGACAGGTGTCTCCGTAGGTAGTAATTGACAAGCACGGGTCTCTTCATCACTACCTGGATTCGATTTCGAATGAGACAGAGGACTTAAAACCAGTAACAAGCCAGGCGGTGCATGCTTTGATGCGGCGAGTTGATCATGCTGGCCAAGCCTCAAGGTTCAGTATTGTCTGGGGATACAACGACTGAATCTCTCGTTAGTTGTCACTCACACAGTTCTATGGTCCTTGAGATAGTATGCTTATGAGCCTGGACACATAATGATGTTTCCCCAATAATTGCTTGGGATCAAATCAGAGAAGTGAAGATTCAGGCTGGACCATGTTTTGAAGTGTGGCTAATACTAAGCCACAGATTCAGCCACATATACAATGAGGACCTTTGTGGCCCATGGCGCAGCAAATCACCTCATCGCAATAATATTCCGCCATTTCTCCGAGACGGGCCAGCAGGAAGGATGGGTGGACCTTCCGAGGCCCGACCAGCGGTTGCGTCACAGAGTTGGACGCCTTGAGGGTGGCACTGGCCCAATAGCAGCACCTGCCCTGCGCTTCCATCCGCACCTGCACTCCGTAAGGTAACTCACACGCGCCGGGACAAGCCCGCGACACCATCCCGTCCTCAGATCAGTGGCGGCGCAAACCAACCAAATCCAGCCTTGCTTTTTTCCCAACAAGAAGCTGAACCTGAAGCTATCGACTTTCTTCCACGCTGCCTATTTGGAAACCGCCTTGGAACCTTTCACTTGACGGGGCCAGACAGTTTGGACCCAGGAAAACAACGCGCCCGACGGTGACCTCCAGCTACCCCTCCGCCCCGTGCCAGACAGACTCCAGTACCTTCGGTTCAAGGTAGGGCAGAGGTGCCTTCTGTCTCCCACCTCCAGCGACCCTTTTACATTCACTCTTCTGACCGCCACCAGAAAAAGAAGATATCCTTTGACTGATTTCTGGTCGGTACCAAGTGCAGGAGGGTATTTCACGAAGCTACAAATTTTCCTCTTCAGCTACCTCAACAACGGCAAGCGCAGACCTTCACCATGGACGAGGATATTTCCAACTTCGTCGCCATCACGGCAGCCAGTCCGGAGGCCGCTCGCGGCTTCCTGGAGATGACCAACAACAATCTCGAGCAGGCCATTCAGCTTTTCTTCGAGAACCCAGACATTCAGAGCAGCTTCAATCAGCCAGCTGCCACCTCTTCGACAGCCCCCCCCGTGCCCTCGAGCACCCGACCGAACATTGGACGGCAGGACGAGCGCGGGGTCATTCACATAGATAGTGATGACGATGGCGATACTGCCATGACGGTGGACGATATGGACGACAACTTCGGACACGACGACTCTGATATTGCGGCAAACGAACAGGTGGCGGCCATTGCCCGAAGTGCCCAAGAGGAAGAGGACGCCGCCATGGCCAAGAGATTACAAGAGGAACTCTACGGTGGCGGACCTGGAGGTGGTGGTGGTGGCGGCGCTGGAATCGGCGGTCAGGATGATGTGAGATCACCTATCGCCAGAACCACCGAGACTCTGGTCGGAGGCTACGATGGTGACGATGGTATGGACATGGATACCATCATCCGGGCACAAATGAGACAGAGAGATGCCGCCAGAGCAGCTCGAGGTATGCGCTGGGTCAAGTCTGCTCCTTTGGAATCGCCGTGCTAACTTATTGGACATCAGCTGGTGGTGGAAACCCCTTTGCTCATAACCTGTCTATTTGGGATGATGACAGCCCAGCTGCAGCCCAGCCCGCTCAACCCGCTGCGACAGAAGGTGGCACGCGAGCCCAGAGATTGGCAGAGCTTTTTCGGCCGCCCTACGACATCATGTCCAGATTGGAGTGGGACGAGGCGAGGCAGGAGGGCAAGGACGAGAAGAAGTGGATCCTCGTTAACCTCCAGGATATGAGCGACTTCAACTGCCAAGCCCTGAATCGGGATATCTGGAAGGATGCGGCTATTCGGCGACTGTTGGATGATGCCTTCATCTTCCTGCAGTACGACAAGGACGCCATGGCGGCACAGCAGTACATCAACTTCTACTTCCACGGCACCGGTCACGAGAACCCAGACAACTACCCGCACGTCGCCATTATCGATCCGAGAACAGGAGAGCAGGTCAAGGTATGGAGTGGGAGACCATTCCCCAGCGCATCAGACTTTCACGCGCAGCTGGCCGAATTCCTGGACCGCTACAGTTTGGCGGCGAACAGTAAGAACCCTGTGGTGGACCAAGCGGCGCCCCGCCCCAAGACCGTCGATGTTGATCGAATGACGGAGGATGAAATGCTGGAAATGGCATTGCAGAACAGTCTTGCGGCGTCCAACGGCGGCGCCAGCAGCTCCAAGCCCAAGACTGGCGTTTTCGACCCCGATGCGCTCACCAAGTCAGACTCATCCAGCGGTCAAGGCAAGGGACAATCCCCGGCCGAGGAGGCAGCAGGCGGCATAACCCCTCCTGCTGAGCCGGCAGTGACGCAGACTATCTGGGCCTCGATTGCGACCAATAAGCCGCACAAGGAGCCGGAGAACAACCCAGCAACGACGACGCGGATACAGTTCCGACACCCCCATGGACGTGTTATCCGTCGATTCAACCTGGACGACCCGGTCAGGCGCATTTACGAGTGGCTTAAGCATGATCCCATCGAGAACAAGGATTTCATCGAGGTCGAGCTGAAGCGCATGCCACAGGGCCAGGACCTGAGTAATGAACTGGAGACCACCATCAAAGACGCTGGACTCAAGAACGGGACTGTTATGATTGAGTTCATTGAGGACTAGAGCTGGCGTGCGTCCTCTTCGACGACTGATGATTCGGGCAAAGTCGGTTAGAGAACAAAGTGCATTTATCAGCAGGGTCAGGGCATGGCCGATAGAATTGGAACTGGGCAGGCGGAAGGAAGCCTTGTTTCAATGTTGTTGTTTTGGGCTCTTCTCATACATACCACGATATCCGGCAAGGGCAGGCATGGAAGGATGCAGTTTATCGAGGAACAAGGAAGCCAGACAGAGACAAGTAGCGGGCCAGATGATTCACAGATGGCCACTCAACAAAGGTAGACGCTTGTTAACACAGAGACAGCATCAATAGACACGGGAAATGACAGTAACTGCGATCATATTATGTGTGAGCTGCGGCATGAATAAACAAAACGCGCCATCAGGTTTAATCTAGATGTGCGTGTCTTCCCTATCGTGAGTCCTCGAGACATGGTTCCATCTGGTCGAGGTCGAGTTTCGACATGCAACAATGCAATGCCAATCATCTTCAAGCCACTCATGGTACCCACACAAGCCACGTCCAAGGCTGAACGGAATCAAATGCAACTTTCTGCCCTAGATGCCTCTTGAGTCTTGACTGCCTACCCTAGCTAAGTATCCGCGTACCGTAGCCTACTGGACTACCCCTACTAAGATGACGAGGTTACGAAGGTCAACCAGAAGAAGCCAAAGGAACAAAGATAGCTCGAAGAGTGTCTTGGGCTGAGAGATGTGGGTGTTTCACTAGCCTAGAGCATCACTATACTTGGGTGTGCTTGGCTCACCTGGATCGGTGGTGGCGCCGTTGGCGGGGAACCAATCAGATGGGCTAAGGCGGACGGGTTCCTGGACGGGTGTTCGGGACGTGTCACTGCATGCGAGATGAATGGAGGGGCGATTGGATGTGGTGCGTTGGGTTCTCGGTCAGTCGATATGGTGCTAGTGGTGGTGGTGTTGTTGGTGTTGTTGGCGAAGAGAACGACCAAGATTGAGATGCTGTGGTTGGCAGCATTTGGGTCGATTTCGTAAGGTGTACTGCATTTGATAAGCAAGACGTGATCTGTGCACTCTCGCTTAGACTGGCGATAATGCATTGAGATTGTTTTGACTGCTAGAGGTCGCTGATGTTTTTACTGGACAGGACCACCCCAAGGGCCATGGTAGGGGGAAGACTTGGGATGAGGGGAACCTTGGAACCTGAGAGACTCCAATTGACATCAACAGCGGCGGTTGCTGGTGAACCGACCCCTCGGTTACCATTTGCGATCATGGCATAAACAACGGGGATCCAATAGACACATCATGTCCACCCATCTCTGCTATTCCAGCCTGCTTCACGGATATCTTGGAAATCAAGACTTCTTTGCGCTGGAACGTCGCACTTCCATTTGTATGTGCCTCCCTTGAGCCTTGAGCCAGGAACAGGAGGATCATCAAGAGCAGGTACCAAAACAGTCCACAAAGTCGAAGCCCCAGACTAGCACCAACACCAACACCACACGGTACCTTCTTCGTACACACAAACATTTACAACATCCCAAGACAACACTGAAGAAGGCGACGACGACGCAAAGACAGCCACGCGACCGACCTCTTCTTTGTGGCCTTTTAACCGTCCCAGAGTCAGACTGGTCTTGGGCTTGGCCTGGCTTGGTCCGTCTCTTTTTACCCCACACTCTGCCTCGTGTGCCCAAAGATCAGACTCCCGTCCGTCGTTCCTTTGGACCAAAGCACAGGTATCCGTACCTTACCAACCGCAACCCCACGAGACTTTCTTTTTTTTCTTCCTTGCCGTTCACTGAGAAGTTGGGATTGCCCATCTCTATCCGTACTCCGTAAGTGTGTTGATTTTCCATGCTACTGTGGCATTGACGTCTCTCCCTGCCTTGCCTTCTCCCTTTCCCTTTGCTTTGCTTTGCTTTGGCTCTGTCAACCCACCGAATGGCGAGGAACGCGAATTATAGCGGCCCGCTACAGTGTCTCACCACCACCGGAACTTTTTTTTCGGTCCTTACCTACGTTTCTCTCTTGTTTTCCTCGTCATTCTGTCTCTGCACCTTGAAGAAAAGGAGAGACGAGACATAAGACACGCGACAAGAACCGACGTACGGTTGACGCCGCCCCCTTCGGAACTAATCACCGTTAGGCTCCGGCCGACTCTGTCTCTAGCACATCTGTTAACCGCTCGCTTTCTACCAGATCGCTTTCTTTCTCCTGGGCCACCTCAGACCATCCTTCTTGGGGGCACCTGTGACCGCCAGCCCGGCTTCAATCGCTTCCAGCTTGACGATAGCCGCATCCGTCGTCCCCCACCGCCTGTCCCTTTCGCTCGCCCTCAACTCAAGGATCCCCTCTTCAAACCAGCTGCCCGCCTGCTGCCCGAGCACGAAGGAAGAAAAGACTTTCGGACCCAAGAAGTCAATTTCCGGCGAACCGAACATCTCTCTCTCTCTCTCTCTCTCTGCCTAACGACAGCAGAGACGAACCACCGCCGCGCCAGCACCGAACTACGGCGATTCGCACTGCGCTGACGTACTTTCGGCCCCCCTTGCAACCCCGCGATCCTCTCCTTTGCGACGGACGACAGTGCTCGACGGGAGAGCATTTCATTATTGCGCGGCGTCAATTGAACGACCAACCCTTTCTGCCGGGACGACCCTTCACATCGTAGCGCTAGACCGCAATCATGGGTGATCGCGATAGGGATATCGAGGAGGGCAACGAGGCGCTTGATCCTGAGCTGCTCTACACCAAGGAGTACTGCATCGGTATGCGCTGCTTCTATGCTTGAAGCGGTATATTGCTAATACGCTGGACTACCTAGGCGGAGGCAGCTTTGGCAAGGTCTACAAGGGGTAAGTACCATCTAGCCTCCCACTCCAGCAGCAATGAGCATCAAAGGATTAACCGCAACTCGTGCAGAGTCGACAAGCGCACCGGTCACGCCGTCGCCATCAAGATTATCGATATCGAGAGCGCCGAGGACGAGGTCGAAGACATTATCCAGGAAATCGCCATCCTGTCCGAACTGCAGTCACCCTATGTTACGAAATACTACGGCTCGTATGCCAAGGGGGCTGAGCTATGGATTGTCATGGAGTTTTGCTCAGGTGGAAGCTGCGCAGACCTCATGAAGCCAGGCCTGATAGGCGAAGACTACATTGCCATTGTTATTCGCGAGCTGCTCCTCGGTCTCGATTACTTGCACACGGACAAGAAGTTACACCGCGATGTCAAGGGTTAGTTGGTTCCTTTGTCATGCGCCCCTGAGTGACACTAACTTGGAGGCTAACACGCATAACCAGCTGCCAATGTGCTCCTCAGCTCCAACGGCCAGGTCAAGCTTGCGGATTTTGGCGTCTCGGGCCAGCTGTCGGCCACCATGACCAAGAAGAATACCTTTGTCGGCACTCCTTTCTGGATGGCCCCCGAGGTTATCAAGCAGTCTGGCTACGATCATAAAGCTGACGTCTGGTCGCTTGGTATTACGGCGCTGGAGCTTGCCAACGGCGAGCCACCGTATGCTGATATTCATCCCATGAAAGTGTTATTTCTGATCCCCAAGAACCCTCCACCGCGGCTGGAAGGAAACTTTACAAAAGCGTTCAAAGATTTCATCGAGGTGTGTTTGCAGAGGGACCCCAAGGACCGACCCACAGCCAAGGACCTGCTCAAACACCCCTTTATACGCCGCGCAAAGAAGACGAGCTACCTGACCGAGCTCATCGAGCGCCACAGTCGGTGGGCCGCGACGCACAAGGGTGACGATGATGAGAGTGACCAGGGGGGTGAAGAATACTACGAGCGCCAACGTGTCGACGAGGACATGTGGGATTTTGGCACAGTAAGGCTTGTGGGAGATCGCGGCGGTGTCGTTCCTCGTCCCGGACTTGGTGCCCTGGACGAGTCTGCCACCAACGCCAGAGCCGCGAGATCTACGGACAGCATTGATGACTATGGAGAGCGTTCGAGAGACAGCAGTCCGACCAAGATTCGCGACTTTGGCCGCGACCTCGCCATTGCTTCCGATACCCTCAAAGCAGCCAGTGCCAATACGGGTACCTCTCGACAGGCATCGCCGCAACGGAAGCCAGTGCCGTCAGTCGCACCCCAGTCGCCGGCCAAGGTGCCTCTTCCAATGTCGCCAGAGAAGATGCAAAGAGGAGGAGGTCCAGAGACACCGCGACCTATCACTCGATTGATTCAACCTGTCGTCCCTGTCAGTCAATCTCCGGACTACGACCGAGAACTGCAGGTTCAGCTACAGAAAGACATGGGCTTGATGAGTCTTGGCCCTGTGATCCAGCCTGCCGATCTGCAACATATTGACGATTCGACACCGCCGCGACCCCCTCTCCATGGACCTCGGCCAAATAACAAATTTACGCCGATTGCTCTTCCAGAAATACCACCATACCGCGGCAGCCCGCAGCCGCAACCAGCGCCGGTCAGGATACCGAGCCAACCTCCAGGCGGGCAATATCGCCAACCGTCTGGCCAGGCGCCGCCTCCACCGGCCAAGGCATACGCGCTGCCGTCAAAGACGCAAATGCCTATTCCTGAACCCGCGACTCCTTCATCCTTCCCTCCGCCAGCGCCGTCTAACCCCAATGGGGAGCTCGATGCCTTGAACGATGTCATTTTCCCTGCACTTGAGGAGGCGCTAAAGAGGAGACAAATTAGACTGCAACAGGCTTTCCGGCCCCAACAGGGTTCTTCAAGCCCCGTGGCTATGAACCAGGTGACTCCGAAGCAGCAACGAGCGGAGGCGGCTCACGAGAAGCTGCGGAAGCTCGTATATAAGCTCGCTCATGTGTGCAAAGAAATCGACCACTATGACAAGGCGGAGCCAGTGGGTATGGGCAGGGACGTTGGCACCTTCCTAGAAGGACTTTTGGAGGAAATCCTCGTCAGGGTTGAACCCCTCGACGAGGAGGATGTTGCGGCCTGAACCGTCTGATGGTCCAGGCGGCTGTGTGCGAGGCGCAACAACAGACAGGGGGGATGCTTGGTGGGGCACCCGATGAGCACATGCTCGGATGCCCGCGAGTCGTCGCCGGCAGCACGAGTGACACTGACTGATCGGTGAAGTGGGATGGAAGATGGGAACGAAGGAGCAAATATTGCAAGTCCCCGTTGACGACATGACAATACACGGCGTTCTGGAGGATACATACCGCCCCTATGCGAAAACGAAGAGACTTATTAGATACAATCCAAAGGCGGGGGAATCGGGGTTGTTGGAATGCTGGAAATGACAAGATGAACAAGACGACAGATATGACGTGACGGATAGGACATACACACATACACACACACACTTGGCCCCGTTTTCCTCTCGTCTTTTGACTCAGAACTGGGAAGGAAACAACGGGTGGCGAGTCCGGGGTTTGAGGAATAGAGGGTGGATGGGAGGGGAGGGAGGGGAGGGGAATGATTCACAAGACGCCTTTTTTTCTTTCTACAATTCCCTATGTATTATACCCAGCATTTACCCAAGAATAGAGTGCGTGCTCTTTCTCTGAGACCCCCCGGGCCACACCCCGGAGAAACCGATGCAAGGCTGAGGAGACGGGAGGCTTCAAAAATCGAAGAACTAAGCCGTATGGGGGATGGTATTTGTATGGTTGACGAGTATCCCGGTACTCGTACTCGTGAGAAGCGGACCGTCAAGTCGAGGGGCCTCGCTGCGTCTTCTTTTTCTGCCCAGTAGGAATGGCAGTTCCCGTGTCTTGCCAGGTGTGGGAATCGTTAGATCCTGCCTGAGAGCCTCCGAGCCTCCCTCACCCCTGCGGCCTACTCGATTTCTCGAAGCCAGGCGGCCACGGAGAAAGCTCGTGAAAGGGGGGGGGGGGGCAATACTTTACCGTAAGTAAGAGAGCGAACCTTGGGCTTGCCGTTGCAGAGTGCCAGAGAGCGAGACAAGGCAAGGCCGAGGGAGAAAGTCTCGCTCTTACTTGGGCCCTGTCCTGGACTTCTGGAAGACGTTTGCTTGGGGTAGGGGAAGGGGACGGGAAGGGGAGGGAGAGGGGAGGGGGAGGGCAAGTCCAGGTAGGTATGAGAATGTGAGGTGCATTCGGCCGTGGAGTTATATGGTTACGGATGCCAAGCTCCGTATGTGTGCGGTTGGTGTAAACCATGACTCTATCTACGACGGACCCATGTCCGGCGCGGCTGAAGAGGAGGGAGGCCTAGATGGAGTACTTCGTACAGATACAGTATGAAATCGATCGAATGGGGATAAAAGAATGCGGGAGGAAGACGAGGAATGTGAGTCTTTTGAGGTTTCCGATGGCAGATTTGAATTGTCCGTGTGTTCTTTCCGGTGTTGGTGTTGGTGGGAAGAATGGCCCGTGGAATCCTTGCTTGGGTAGGAGATTCCGACCAAGGCAGCACGTCTTTCAAAGACATGGCACTACCTGATCTCCAGGCTCCATGAAAGTATGATCATTCTGTATCTAACAGTGTATGAATTGGGTGGGAAGAAGCAGTTTCGTCCGGCCAGCTCGGCCGGCCTTTCACATTATGTTGGCAGCCAAGTCGCAGCAGCAGATAACCTGAAACCAGACGCGCGCGTGGGGCGGATGGCTGCAGCTGGGCAGCAGAAATCCCTACGGCGAGTCATGGACCCTGAAGATGCCACAATTACAAAGGCATTTGTGCGAGAGGGAGGGAAAAGCTGCTGAAGGAGCGGCATTGACGATGGCTGGCCTTGCTGGGCAGAAACTAGCCATGGTTGATCGGGGGGTTCCATCTGGATAGTCCACAGATACCGCTACGGCGTTACCCGTTGCTGGACCTTGATCCCTGGTTCCCTTCTCTTTTTCTGTCTCCCACTCTCTCTTCCCATGACCAAGACGTACGGATAGACCCAGGGCACAGGCAAACCATGTCTTCCTGACTGCCTCTTCAGGCCAAGTCTGGGGGCCTTCCTCCTGGGACCCTCTTGGGACGAGTCAATCGTCTACCCTCTACCCCAGTCTTTCCCTCAAAGTTGGGACGCTGGGCGCTGCAGGACAAGCAACACGGCTTGGCCCTGGGAGGATGGGATCCATCTTTTCTCTTCTGCGTGGTTCTTGTTTGGGTGCGGCTGTGGCTTACCTACGGGCTACACAGTACACATTATCTGTGAGAGACTGAGAGTTGTAAGTGGCATGGTAGCATGACCCCCCGGGTCGGCGTGCTGCCGGCGAGATGTTCGTGGAGACATCTTCCCCCTACCCTCCTGGCTCCTGGGCAGCTTTTCTTCACGAGACCGATCCCTAGAGGCGAACTCTGAGTGGAGAGCAAGCACGGATCTGAAATACCGTGAAGGGAGTTTGGGGGGTTTGGGATATGTGACTTCTCTTAAGGCGTGGCTGCGCCGCCCTTCTCTCGTTCGTTTGGGAGGAAGGTTTTCGGACTTTCTTTGCAACTTTCTTCTCGCTCCTCTTTTGTTTGCTTCCTGCTCTCCTTCTCCCATCCCCCTCTGTTCGAAGATGAGAACGTGTTGATTACGTTTTCTCTACGAAATCCAACGCCCCTTCCACTCATTTCTAGTTTGTTGGTTTTATTGCTACGCCTTCTCGCGGAGGTAATCTTAATCCTACGGGGGAAGATCGAAGAGCCTCTTGTTACTTATCTTGCCCTTCTCTGCTACTGGTCTGCTCCGTCTGGTCTTCCGTGTTCTCGAAGTTGGTCCCTGTTTCGAAATCTCTTGGAAGAGAAAGAGCGAAGGTTGTCGCCTTACCTCAAACACGTTGCACACCACCCAATAGCCCAGCTATTACCTGGCAGACGCTCATATTACTCTCCTCCCAACATCACCCACCCCCCTCCTTCTACAACCTTCGTCTCATAATCAACTCACTTGCCGTCGGACTTTCTCTTCCCTTTTCGACCTCCCTTCCCCGAGCAAACATACCAGCCTTTTGGGGGCCGGAGCCTCAGACTTCGTTCCTTTCGTCATCACACATCCCCGTCTTGTGCGATCGATACGTTGCGGCTCTTTTGGACGACTGTTTACGACTGTTACGCTACAATAGAGGCTGGTTCTCTCGACTACACATCTTCTCGATACCCAATCGACTTTGGTTCGCCACCCGTATAAGCTGGGTCGAGCGTATTTGGGAAAACGGATCCACCGGCCTAGTCAACCTCCTCAAAAGGAATTTGGGTTGTCCTATAAACAAGCAGTAGCAACCATGAAGACGACGACAACAAAGGCGGTGCTGCTCACGCTGCTCAGCAGCAGCGGCTTCGTAGCAGGCGTCCGGGCCGCCGCGAATCTGTGCTTCTTCCCCGGCGGCGTGCAGAGTCTCGATGTGCCGTGCGATCCCAAAGCCGAGGTCAGCATGTGCTGCGGGAGCGTGAACGCGTGTTTGAGCAATGGGCTATGCAAGCTTGAGGATACATCGAATAACACGGGTATTGCGTATGCGAGAGGAACGTGTTCGGATCCAACGTGGCAGAGTCCGATTTGTCCGCAACATTGCGTGTTGAGTAAGTCTTTCATATTTCTTTCCCGGAGACACGGGGGAGAAGAGGTTTCAGGAAGACCATGGGCCGAGACTGGTGATTCCAAGATGAAGGGGGTGTTTGGGTACATGACCGAACCGTAGTACTGACATGAATATAGACCCCGACACAAGGAAGAACAACACTGCATACGACTTCAGATTCAACGGTGTTCAGGTATGGCAATGCGACAGCCAAGGCTTCGGCGTACCCGGCAAGTTCTGCTGCGAATCCGCCGCAGAAAAGACGAGATGTTGCTCCACGCCGCCCGCCATCTTTGGACCCCTCATCGCCGCGACCCCGGGCAACGCCGCGGCCGTTCAAACCCTCAACACCGGCGCCAAGTCTACGCCCACACCCTCGGGATCAGGCCGCGCCGGTATCACGGGTGGTAGCAATTATCCCTCGCAGCAGACGCCCGAGATGACGGCCGTGCCGACGATGACGAGCAAGATCCCTGCCACGCCCGGCGGCGCGGAAGCCAACCAGCCGACGGCGGATACGAATTCCGGCAGTGGCGATAGCGGGCAAAAGGGTATTGGGAACGTGGCTGTCGTGGGACTGGGTGTTGGCGCGAGTGTTGGTGGTGCGCTGCTCGTGGCGGTAGGCGTGATGTGGTATCTTCGCAAGGAGAGGTCTCGTCGGGGACCCGTGGAGCTTGATGGGTCAAGTATCAATGGCGGCTACGGCGGTAGCAGCGGAGCGACCGATATATCGAGGTCCAATACGGGTCGGATCGCGTATGGTGGGATGAACATTCACAATATGAATCACAACGGGGGCACGGGGACGATTAGCTCCATGGGGACGGGGACATACAACATGTCCGCGACGCCTGGAATGATGACTGTGAGGAGGGCGAGTAGTGAGTGGGATGGGAGCCCGGGCGGGTTGGGTGGAAATTACCAGATGGCGGAGATTGATGGCAAGGAGGCGATTGTTGTTGCGGAGCCGCAGGGGAGGAAGAAGAGTCTCTATGAGCTGCCGTAGTCACGGTGGTCTTTGGGGGTTATGAGCTGAAGAGGAAGTGGATGGGAGAGACAGAAATGGTGGTCGTTGGCAACTTGGCATTAGAGGTTTGGCACGAGACGAGCCATACAGACATGGAGACGTGGACTTGTATAAAAAAGACAATAGGGACGGATGGTGTACGGTGGTGTGATACCTTGATACTTTTGATAGCGGGGTGTGTACTTTTCTTGCTCCCCAATTTCTTTCTAGTTTATGGCTCATGAGAAATCTACTTTTATGAACTTTAGATGCCTTTATGTTTCTCGTGTGAACTAACGGGCGATACGATGAGAGGTGACTTGATTGTGATCTGACTTAAGCTAATCCTCCATCTATCTCGGATATCCATGCCTTGGTAGGAAAACGAGAGCTCGGACGGGGAAGGACACTAGCGTGGGAAACAAAGATGGACACTAGGGCCTGTTGACTGACAGCAGCCATCACGACATCTCGACTATTACGGAGGACGAGACTGACTAGAAGACGGATAGAAGACGCTAACGAGGCAAGGTGGGAGGGGTACCAGAGCGCTGGAATCTGTCATCGGAAGCGCATCCGGCCGGATCACCTACCACCCAAACGATGTGTAGTGAAGACCCGTCAGAGACAGGAAGGGGGAAGGGAATGGAGGGATGTGATTTACCGGCCTTCTTGGTCCGGTTACCAACACGTGCTTGCGCCCTAGGTATGGCCTTGTTACTGGGTAGTACTGTAAGTGGATATCAATTGTCGAAGACGGCAGGGGCAGACTTGACTCCTCGAGGGATCGGGCACGTCTTGAGCCGTTGCTTCATGGTAGGGTAATGATCGGCAGGGGAGCGCTCTGCGGCTCTTGTTGTGCTCCAATGTGACGTTGGAGGAAGGCAGGCCTTGGATTTCTCGCGTAGTATTGTCCTTAGTCAGGTTTTCTGCAAGATCAGAGTATCGTTCAGTTTTCTTTTGTCATTGCCGCTACTCCGCGAATTAGACGCGGGAATGCAAAAATGGACTTCCTTGCTATTGAATTCTTACCCGGATAGGTCGATCATTCGCCATCATCCATGCTGGGAACAGGTACGGGTAAATGATCGAGATGATATGCGGGGTAGGGAAAGGGAAAAGAGAGCAGAGCAGACTTTGATGTCATAGCAGTGGCGCGCATTATAGATCAGAGGCACTGTTGCTCGTACAAGACAGAGTCCGGGATGATGTTCTGAAGGGTGTTTGTCGTATGTGAGTGGGCGGATTAGACGCAGGGACCTCGATGAGACTCGAGAGAGGAAGCGAGAAGGGATGTCGTTGCCGACGGCCCTGTCTGCGTGTGTGTGAGGGACTAGATGGACAGGGATACAGGGGTTGACGAGAATAGAGTTTGCCGCGACGTCTCATGAGGTATGATTGTCGATGACAAAAGAGCGATGGAGTCGGGTTGTAATTCACATCTTTCGCGGTCCTCATTGGTGCGTTTGTCATCATTTCAGTGCGAGGTTTCGCTCGTGGAGAAGCCTGGAGGAGGAGTTCATGATCTTGGAGTACCTGCATCTGGCTCACTTATCGACCATATTTATCTACATTGAACTTCGATGGCTTGGGAATATGCAGAGAAAGATTCTGGAAAGTTTGACTTGGCATTACCCTCTTGACAGGTCTTGGAGTTCGGGTGGTGCCTTTCGGTGATGGTGTGACGGAGCCGAGAGACGAGACGAGTGGCAAAATGCATGTCTACCCAACACACGCTCATCAATGTAGCTTTGGATAGAACCAGAAATCCGAAGAATTCGGGGACGCAAAATGGTTGCATTCAATATGCAGCCGCACATCCTACCTTGCACATCACATAGTCCGAAAAAATCGGATTCGGACAGGAGCACGAAAAAGAATTTGGATTTCAGGATCAATTCGTTTGGTTCATACAGCACGCATTAGTATGGTTGAGTATAGGTTATATGAAACATTGTATGATACGGATCTACGAGCCCATGGATAAAAGCCGCAAGTACGAGGACCTTGAGGATGAAAGGGGATACAAAGTCAGCCCGGGGAAGCCGGGCGAAGGAGCGGAGGGCAGGAGGACTGCGCCCCTCAGACAATGAACATCCCAGGCGTAACCGGCCCCGGGATCAACCCACCACCACACCGGGGCTTTGGAGAAGAAAGTGGATATGCGGTTCTGTCATCGGCTCCCGTAAGGAGTGTGTGTGAGGCGGACCACCGACTGCCGGAACATCGCTTACTTGGGAACAAAAATTGCCGACGACGAGTGGTGTGTCTGTGCCGTGTTTCCACTGTAACGGGCGCAAGATGGGAAGTTTGGGGGCTGATCTTATGTTTCTTGCTTCAGACGTTATAGGGGCCGCCCTCATACTTTGATACTGCAGTCTGCGTGGCGGTAAACGGGGCCCTTTTTGGGGAATTACGTGCTCGTGGAGATTATCTGCAAGTTTTCAAGGTTGTTTATTGCCTGTCCCAGTGTGTGTGTGGAGGTTGTGTCGCTTCTGGGGACCGTTTCGAGGAAAGATGGGATGATGCGCTATTCTTGTCAGACAGCTAATTCAAAAGACACTGGGGAATCCGGGAGAGTGTGGTGTTGTGCATTTCTGATCTACTGGAGGGAGTGCTTATCTTGAAGATCGCTCGTTAGTGGGTGATCATGGCCCTTCTTCTCGGTATCGGTGCCGGTAAATATTCAATCATTGTAGCATGTGTGCTTGATCGACCTGACACTGGAGGTTATTATGTACTTTTGAGAAGTGCGAAGACTGAGAAAAGCAGTATCACAAGAGTCTAGGGAAACTTTTATCACAAGTTGGGACACAGTTTTAGCAAGCGGGAAATTTGGCCGAGATTTAAGATTTGACTTCTTGCCTTTCATTTAGGTGAGATGTCTAGATGCGACTACGAAGGCTCTCCATCTAAAGTAATAGCAGCAGGAATTAATATGAAGTGCGTGGCAGTTGTGGCAGTTTCGGCAGTACCACCCTGCTGATGACATGTGAAGTGAACACCTCAAACGTGAGGGTGCGAGTCCTCGACGCTCAGCTCTGATCCGGGTTGGCATTCTCGATAGAGATTATCTGCCCACAACACGCTTTGTTTGGAGTTCGAGAGATCGATTGGGGGAGGCGTGGATGCCGCGGGGAGAATAAAAACTCCCCGGACACGAACGAACCTCTCGATGAACCGCCCCCCACGATACGCATGAAGTTGTTGACGAGCGCCAGCCCGTTCCTAGAGTCTCAAGTCTCCCTGTAAGGCCGGAGTCATCGGGTTTCTGATGAGGCTTAGTAAGTGATTTAGGGGTTTGCCTGGTCAACTCTGGAAGGACCATTATAATGTGACACCAATTAATGTCCCGTTTTACTGGACCGGATACATTATACAATAGTCTTCGGCCTAGGAAAATTAAAGTTTATATTTGATGTACACTGTGCTTTGTTGAAGTTGATTATGAACGATCACGCGAAAATCTCAACTGTATACGAAAATAGGGGGTTTAATGTAGTTAAGTCTATGCAAACAGAGACGGAAATTCCTCCATTCATCACTTCAATATCTCATAATCACGCCACAATGAAAGCCTTAGGCCAGAGATGACGGGTACACGCATACCGGATCCGTAGAAGCTACGCTGCAGATGTAAATTGTAGTCACCCCAGCAAATTCGCCCTTCGCCGCATAAATTTCAGCCTTCTTAGTCCTGATGAGCAGTGCGAACAACACCGAGAATATGAGATTGTCACAAAAGGTGAACCGCTCCTTATGGGCAGTATTAAACTAACCTATATCTCGTGACAGATCTTAGTGCAAGTTAGAATTATCCAGATACCACGAGAGACACTGTCACCAGTGATCACCAACTGAGTTGCATGGCACGATCACTTTATGATACATGTTGAAGACTTTACCAAATCGGTCTCGTGCGCCCGTTGATCCTCCGAAAGTCACATATGGTAACGGATGGGTAAACATCCGACAATGGTATCAAACAGAGATTGGCAGATACTGATCAAAGATTGTCGGAGATCAGCTCATTATTCGTGGAGGGAGAGACTTGAGACTGAACGATCGACGAGCTTCGCGCAGCGCCACGATCGGCCAGTTATGGGCCGGTCCAAGGACTTTACCGTACCCAGGTGATTTTCCTTCTGTCATACCAGAGCAAGAAACCCAGGATATCGTGGCCAAAGTCATATTCGACATCGGCATACAGCACAATTGGATTAATACAAGGATATTGGAAAGAACGAATGAGACATGCAATGAGGTCGAAGGGGCGAGGAATCAAGTTAAGGCGAGGGGGACGCAATTCACACTTCGCCCACAGGCCGAACTGATTTGGTGTTCAGGAAACTAACACTCAGCAACTTCTTTTACTTCCTGGTACAAAACAATCTGCCATGTGATGTCGTCCTTCGCAGGAAGTATATGCAGGACTTGGCATATGAGCTCCATGAGCCAGCCCTACTCATAAGAAACGCCAACTTAACCAAATGTCATTCTAATCTCATTCAACGTCCTCGAGTATGGCTGCTGAAACCCGATAGAGTATTATGCCAATCTTCAACGAGCTGATCGGAAACAAAAATGGGGCCAAAAAAGAGAGAGCCACTGCTCATTAGACAGCAGAATAGAGCCAAGCTGTAGAAGAGGAGAGTCGAAAGGCTGAGTCTCAGGTGTCAATTTCAAGATCTTTAGCATCATCCACGGGAGAAGCAAACCTCGTCCTTGGACCTCCAAAGCCTAGTCGAGACGTTAAAGGATGCTATCTTCGGGACAACTCTCACTCTCGGGCGGCAGTCAGTCGATCAGATCACAATCAAATCCGCACACGATGACGTCCAATTACACGCCGCTGAGGTGTTTGCAGCGACTTCTTCCCTGGGAGCTCTTTTTTTGATGGTTTCCCCATATACCTCGATGTCTCAAGTAGCAGGAGTACATGAACAAAGTGGTCGAACTGGGATCCCGAGCACCTGGATGAAACTTCCATCTGCAATAAGCTTGAGATGTAATTGTAAATTTTCTTCTCTTCTGCTGCGTTTCAACGATCTAGGGCTCCTCAAAGTGGGCAGCCTGCCTCACAAGCTTTACTCTGGAGAAACGATATTGGTTATCAAGCCAAGTCGGATAGGTAAGTCCGTGGAAATGAGAAGCTCCGTTGCCAGGTCCCATTTTCGACTCGCCCATGTCCTCACTACCTCACTCACAGCAGTGATTGTTTGGAACGAGCCACCCAAAAAAACATGATGATAATCGGGCCTTTGCAAACCCAAATGCCGATAACTTTCACTCAACCACGGGAACAGAGCTCGCCCAAGAGGTGCGAGAGTGATCTGCATCATTCGTATCAGGCCATGATCTCGAGCATAGACTCTCAAAGCTACCCGATACGATGAGATCGTGAGATCATAACTAATAAGTTCCCTGCTCGCCCAATTGCTAAGCGCGCTCTGCGTCGACCTGGTATCGGCCCGTCGCATTGACTACGAGCAATGCCCAAATGAGAATTCCTCAGGAGGGTTTTGCTTTGCCAAAAGAGTTGACACTCAGAGCAGACATGTCAACTTCATGTTGCATTACATTGCATCAAATGCCATGGGCAGCTGCAGGAGGCATTCTTGTCGTCCGAGCTAGGCACTAGAGTGCCCGTGTACCGTGTTTACTTACAACCGGGAGCTTATCAGCAAAGTTCGGACCCTGGGTTGCCAGGACGCCATCGGATGGTTTAGCGCCGGGTTGACGGCGTAAAAGGAATCACCAAAGATAGATTGGGTATGCTCGACTTGTTCCTTGTAAATATTTGCGAACAGTAAAAGTCGAAAAAATGAATCGCAGCTGAGGAAAGGATTTGACAATGTAAGAATCAAGCTTACGGGATATGGTAAGAGTATACTGTGAGAATAACCAGGACGAATCGTCATACCGAGGCAGTTTGCAAGCGTCAAAGACTCTCCGAATCATTCCTCGTGCGGGGGGACGAGTAAGTTGGCAACCACAAGGCACTTGGCGCCCGGTTGTGGCGCTTTGGTGAAGCTAAGATGGCATCCCGCGGGCTTCCATGGCAGACCACAAAGGAAAGCCAACCTCCATCGTAACTGGGAAAGACTTTGGCGGTGCCTTGGGTGGGACGTATGATGGTTGGATGGTACAATGGCTAAGTAAGAATGTTCGGACGATTTGACTCGAGCGTTGGACGTTGGAACGGATTAAACGGGAGGAACTTGGGTCTTGCGCTAAACAACCTACGATTCAGTAATTCTAGCAGCGCTACCGAACTCTAAGATCAGCACGACGTGGAATAGCACCGAGAAGTGGACATTTCCATTCGTTCCCCCACCTGAGAGATCGGCATAGAGTCCCCCAGAGCTGGCTGATCGTCAAGCTCTCCAGCTCTCCCCAGAGAGCTCGCCCACAACGCCATGCCTAAATCCGCAAGAGACGTTGTTAGGCTCGTTGTCACGGATCCGCTCCAGAATCTTCAATGCCGGTAGCTTCGAACACGTTGTGGCGCACACTTTTCACGGCTAGTTTTGGTTCCTTCCTCATTTCAGTCCGAACTTCTTTGAGATATAAGTAGCTCCAGATCCTGATCCGAAATTAAGATCTTGAACTCTCCAAGTCATCAGCTTCCAACAGACAATTTTATTCGCTCTCTTCCAAGTCTTCAGTCTTTTCTTTCCTACTTAATCTTTAGCAGTACATTTCTAATTCCACAAAACTCCACATATCTATCACTATGCGCTCACAAATTCAGCAACTCGCTCTGGCTGCGGCTCTGGTGCAGTCCGCCGATGCCGCCCCGGCTGGCCTTCTCGACGGTCTCGGTGTCGTGACCCAGCTTCTGGCTCTCCCGACCGACTATGTTTCAAGCT